TTATTACTATTTACAAATTAGTTCTTAAACATATTTTTCTTAAAACGTAGAACAGTAAATAAAGAAGTAAAGCAAACAATTATCTCTTCTAGTTACGACCTTCATACTCATTTGCTGCTTGTCGTAGCTTGCTAAGCCTTATAAAATTTCGATTGTAGGGATGTGAAATGAAATAATTTTTTTAGGTTTTTATACATACACTTGAAATAACCAAAAAATCATAAATTACTATATCGATACCATAGAATTCCACAATAATTTATCAAGCTTAATAATTATGCTGTATTTGAGTCTAAAAAACATGAAACTTCAAGCAGACTAAAGACTCAACTATTAGCTTCAAGATTTGTATCGAAAGAATGAGATGATGTCGTAATACTTGAAAATGGCTGAGAAAGTCAATAGGGGACATTCTGAACTTTTGATTTGTTATTCACATGTCACAGACAGAAGTAAGCATACATAATGGAGCATTTACAAAACATGAAAAGAGGTGAGTGTGGTAACTGTGTTTGATTCAGTAGATGAGCGATATCTCAGCAAATAGAAGAGATAGGAGGTTCTTATTTTATATTATAGCTTAATATCTGTAAGTTGAGTTCCTAATTCCTACAAAACTGTATACTTTGTATTTTGACATCACAAATATCTAATTTGAACTAGTGCTGCATTCAACATACCACGTGACACATTTTTTAATATTTACTTTTAAGTTAAGAAATTAAATAATGTATCATACTAAAATCTGAATAATAATATACAGTTTTATACCAAACTTACTGACAAAATTCATAAAATAGTAGTTCAATAAAATTTTGAATGCGAGACAACAAAGACAATGACATGGCCTTTGATCCGTGACTCGTGTGAAAAGGGTCGAGACGTTTTTATTATTAATGATTATACAAACACAAATACATCTACTGAAACTTACATGCGAGGATCAGATGTATCCAGTCCTGCTGTATTCAGATAGTACGAGGTAACAGCATCAGGAACCTAGATAGGAAAGACAATGCCCACAATTTACATCAGAAAAATAAAGAATTCAGAGCTAATCCAAACAAGGAAAACAAAAAACAACTAAATGAAATAACATACATAGCAAATCTTTTAACAATTTTAGATGGTCATTTAGTAGCATTTTAAAATATCAAGTTTTAATTTTATAGAAACACAAGTAGAGCTGGGCAATTAGTGGTCTTTATCAATGAATTGACAGCCTCAATAATCTACTACAGTCAATTAATTGATCAGTACAGTGTTCTTTAAACCATGGTACTTACTAGCATTAAAAAAAATAAATAATAATAATAAAGAGTTGGTCATGGGTGCTGCCATCCAGTTGCCTTCCCTCTAGTCTGCAGTTCAAAAAAAGAAAAAAGTTGGCCAGACAGTTTCCCTTTATTCAGCAATTCAAAATTAGTGACAGTGGCAGACAGCCTTGGCAGCTTTACCACTACAAAGAGAGGATGAGTGAATTTGGTAGCAAAGGGAATCAAACCCAAGATCCACAAATTACAAGGGTTCAGAGAAGAGCTACTAACTTGATTGTAGGAAAAGAATGGATATCTTTTATAGAATAGGTGATATAGAAGACCTGGAGATGTGGTGGATGCAGTAAATTTATGGGAAGACTTGATAAATATGAGTTTTTCCTTTAAAAAGTGTAAGAGATGCTCTTAATAAAGTTCAAGATTATCTGGGAGAATCAATAGGATAAAATTCTCTGATTTCTTTTGCTGAATTCTGAAGACTAAATACTGAAAAGCCAAAAGTTTAAAATTTGGAAAAGACAGGCTAGACTCCAGTTAAAAAAAAAAAAAAAGTCTTATTTTTGGTAACGGGATAATTAATTAATGTTGCCGCAGTGGAGTCTGGCACCTTACAAGGGTTAAAAAAAGGAAACCACGATTTTCTCAGAAATAAAGAGTGGGTTTAATTTTTACTTTCTTCTTCTTGAGGATGGTTTGCAGGGTCAGTGTCAAAGGGGGCCAAATGGTACCTTGTCAATTTTTTATGTCAGCATTTATTATTAAAAGTAATAATGATTGGGATTAATATAAAAACTATATTATAAAATTTCTTCCAAATGCTAATAATCTAATATCTGATTTACAGTCAGTAAGCAAAACTAGGTAGTGTTTCACCTTATCTGTGAACTTACGCTTCAGATTAACTTTTTACCAAAACAAAATTAATAGAAATGTTATATTTTGGCCTCTAAGGATACGAATTAATGTACTTACGTATCTTTTCTGTAATTAACTGTAACACATGAAGTATTCCAAAGTCCTAACTGTTAAATACTTCACTTACCGTTGGTGTATAATCTTCAAGTTGAAGCATGAAATCTAATAAAGGTTGTCCTGCTGTCTTTGTATCTACAGTAGAAGCTGCTGCTGAGCTACTAGAAACTGCTCCTCCTGTTGCACCACTAGATGGTAATAACGATGCATTTCCTTGGCTTGTAGTGATAGAAGCAGCAGGCATAATTGGTATTCCAGATGAAGATGAATTACCATCTATAACTGTGCTAGAACCACCAGAAGCACTTTGAATAGTTCCTCCCAAGATTTCCACTATGTTAAAAAATATATATATATATATATTTTTAAAGCTTTCTATATGTAGGTGGTATTTAGAAATTAAGCTAGAATACAAAACTATAAGACTTCATTTATTAGCACAATAAAGAGAGAAACTGAAAATGAACAAGACATGTTAACATGTGAAAGTCTATATTTAATTATATTTTGATTATTTTATCGGTCAGAAATGACCTTCAAAGATGAACATCCTTGCTTTGTCAAATATGTCCAGGTTATTTCTGTTCTATTTTTAAAGGAAATCAATCTCAAGTTTAAGCCTCTTAAATTAAGAAATTTAAAAACTAATCCAGACTTTAAATTTTAGTCTAGAATATCTCACTTTACTGAAAACTCGTATATCACACTATTTTTATAACATATATTTTTATTGCTTGCATTAGATGATATCTAGAGTGAACAGCACTTAAAGACAAGGCTACATTATTCATAAATATGAGTAACCAGTCAGTCATGACTAGTGAGTTATAAATGAGAAGTTAATGAGTATTCAAGAATATTTCAGTTCACTGTTAGACAGTGAAAGTTATCACATCAATTCTGCTTTCCAATTTCTTGGTGTATTACCCATTTATTGATCTAGTAATCATTTGGATAATAAATTTAAGCTAATGGTAATAGTAATTTGGTTAAGTTTTGCTATTATAACTGATAACAGTGTAGCTGATACAGGCACATACAGTTGAATATTAAAATTTTTAAATAAGCAAAGTAATTAATAAAAAATGCTTATGAATTATGGTTCACACTCTACTGGTACGTAACTTTAAGTACTATAAATTATATTGGTAATAGTATAGCATACATTTCAGGCCCATTGACATTTTCATCAGTCATTATTTTATCATTATATGTATGTAGAAAAAAGCACAAAATGGGCATTTACACTGTTGTTATGAGGAAATAAAATCATTTTTCTTTATGCAATTCAACACAAAACTTTCTTGTAAACTGTTTTTATTTACTTAACATATTTTCTTACAAAATCTTTTTAATTTAATTACCACTTCTAAAAATTAAAACATACACTGACAAGTTCTTTCTTTCATTTCCAATAACTAACCAGCACCAATACCCCTTTATAGTCTATTCTTTAGACTTTATTGAGATTAGATGTGTGACGATGAACAAAACACTACTTAGTATTTTTAATATTTAACTACAAGTGCCTGTGTTGTACTGATACTTTTAGCTTCACCTAAAACTTAACGAAAAATGTTTCCAACAAACTAAATAGCAAATAATAGTTAATACACTATATATGTATGACTATACAGTATTTTGTCTTACTCGTTAGCCCTAACGTTAGTCAAGCTTTTTTACGTTCCAGTTCCACACAGTTCTAGTTCTAATTACGTCCGAGTCTTAACTACTGCTAGTTCCTACACTAGAAAGTATAAAATACGAACAGTTGATGCTGGTATAATATTAAACACGAAAAACGCCACGCAATTAATCAACCTAGTAAAAACAATTACAACAAATTTTGACTTCGAAGATCTACTAATCAATATTGCTACTCAGTAGGCCTTCTAACACAGTGACAATATCGGGTCGTACTAAATACTGAAACAGCCAGAAAAGGAAATATGACACCAAAGAGAAATGGAATATACTTAAATGAAATATAAAATACACCTTATGATGATTCTCGTCTTTTTATCTATTTTTTATGTTAAAATCGAAATTAAACACCAAAAAAGAAATAGAACGAAAATGTTGCACCGAAAAAGAATATAATAGGTCGGTATTCATAAACAGTATCAGCACATGTGTTTGTGCATGTGTTTTGCCAATAAACTTTATTAATAACAAGCTAAGGTACCCGTCCTCTGTACGGGTTATGAACTTAAAAAATGTGGGAGTGGATGCTATGATAAATAACACAAAACTCCTTATGGTGGTTGTTGGAGTAGAAACTTTAGCTGAATTTATGTATTATTGCAAAAGTGGAGGTCATTTATTTTCCATTACATTCCTCCATAGAGAGTGCTAGTGAACTTTCTGAAATATATAAGACATTTGTGCGCCTTCCCCCCGCACAGAGTATATGTTGTGTTATAGAAACTTTAATATTGTTTTTATGTTTTTGGTGTACGGACGTAGCGCCATCTATGAATGTACTTAACATTAACTTATGTCAACGATAATAAATGATCAATGACAGCAATTATGATGGGTGGCTGGGGTTATGAGCCCTCATTAATATGCCCCTTGTTCCAAACTATTATCCCACAAAGTTTGGTTGAGGTTAGCCCAGCAACCTAAAAGTAGTTAGATAACGGTCAAATAGACAGAAACAAAGATCTTTGTACTATACATATATAGATAACAAAGAAATTAGGACTACAATGACGGAATAACATTATAATTATTTATGCAAAGGACCACCTCCGTCCTGCTATCCACTGAAAGACAAAGTAATCAAGATCGCCATTTACCAACACCAACAGTAAACTTATTTGCTTCAACTTGAAACACTTACAGTCAGTAAACAGAGAGGATAGACCGCATGCTTAGAAAATAGCCTAATGTTATATTCTAGTTCCATAGACTAAACCCTATACAAGTAGAATAATACATTTTATACTTATCTTGTAGTACATCTACAACACTAACGACTGTATGAAAATATAAAAACATCCTCTCGCAGTTTCGCAATTTGCTTATGTAATATTCAATTTATGTGTAATATGTAAAATATAAAAAAAGACTACTTAAAAGACAACATAGTAGAGAACTGCTTGATAAACAGCTCCTCTTTGTTATCAGAACCCCTGCAGTTACATTATACACCAGTTATCAGGTATTGTGATGAGGCAGTGACTTTTTGTTTTTAGATTATCTGTCTGTCATAGCAAATTTGTCATAGGTCTGAAGTAATATGACGGTGACATCCAAACACCCTATATTCAACTATACACTGGCAGAACTAACCTACTAAGGATGAACACCACATGCATACTTCACGCGCACGTTATACCATTTTGATGATAATGTCCGAATGCTATTTGGGCCTCTAATACATCTTATTTTTTCTTTATCCAAAAATATTTGATGTGATCCGTGCGTACTTTTCCAAAGCGTTCTCTATCAAGGACTAGCTATAGTTGTTGTGATATCCCTTAGAAACAAAAATTTCATTAATCAATTGAATACATTGCATAGAGGAAAAAGGTGAATTTGTTTTAAAACTTGTGAACCACAAGAAGACTTTAATGTCTAATGGTTTGAGTTTACAAGTTATTGTAATATGCTTGCAAAGAAAAAACAAAACAAAAACAAATTTATTTACAGATAAATATAGAGAGAGTTATTATTATTTTGTAGTTAAGCACAAAGCTACATAATCAGCTATCTGTGGTGTGCCCACCTCGATTACCGAAATTACCCGGTTTTTAGCGGTTGAGCCCTTAACTTATAGCTGAGCTACTGGGGAAGGGGGAGGAGCAAAAAATAAAGAGAGAAGAAATTAAGCACTTCCATAAAATATTACAATCTAGCTGCTTTACTAAACTAATAACCCCCAACGCTAGAATCCGGGTTTCGATACCCGTGGCGGGCAGAGCACAGATAGTCCATTGTGTAGCTTTGTGCTTAATTACAAACAAACTAAAATAATAATAAAGGTTTGTTTAAATATGTAACTGCTTCAAATCCTGTATAAGAACGGCCAAATAAAATATGCTTTATACATTTTTTATTTACGCTACTTTGCCTGCGTACTAACAAATGTGCTGCAACAGAACTCCATAATAGAAGGGAGGAGAGTATGCTTTAGTCGGTACTAAAAACTTCTTTAGTGCTTATTCATAATAATAACCGTTTTCGTTACCAGTTCAGAAACTCTGGAAAATTACCGAGACGAAATGTTAGCGCCACTATTCTCGACGCAACGTTCATGATTTACCTAAAGAAAGTTTTTTTTTTGTACGTAAAAATTAAAAAGAAAAAATCTTAAAAAGCCAAAAATAAATAAATAAAACACTCAATAGGCTTAATATCTTAGTAAAGTTTTGGTATCGCAACTAATTAAAAAGTAGTTTGGAAATAACCAACATCATAAGTACATGCATTGAAATAAGTCTGTAGTTGCAATAGAATAGTTATTACAACAATATACACCCCACAAAAATCATAAATTTTTGTTAGCTATAGCATGAGAAGACGTGTATTTAATTGTACTAAAATTTCCAAAATAAATATGATTAAACTTGATATTTACGAAAGTCTGGTGACTATTTGCTATGATAACAAACGAAAAATACAAAGCAGCTACATAATGTTTCAACTCTTGTCATAAATAAATCTTCGAATAGAATGTTTAAGCCTGGACAATCCTGTTTCACCTGTTCTCGCCAACATATTTAGGACAGAGACTGAAACAGATGCCATAAATTCTGCGCTTAATCCTTAGTCCTCCTATCATAGTTGTATAGATATATAGATGGCATTTTTTCCAGATTCACTTCAACCAAACCCTAACTTTCTCTGAACACAAATTTTATTCATCTCAACGTTATATTCACCACTAAACACGAAAACAACAAACAACCATCCTATCTTAATCTCGATATCATTAGATCCGAAACACAATGCAAGACCAATATTCACCATAGAAATACTTACACTAGCCTTTACATTCCCTGGAATTCAGCTCATGAAACCAAACAAAAATCAACACAATAAGAAGCCTCATAAACATAACTTCAAGATCCTGCTCAATGGACATTGGTGAAGAAATCAAACTTTTAAAGCAATCTTTCATTCACATCAAAAAATTTTTCCCTAGTTATCTTTGAAAGAATCTCACACACTGCCAAAACATAGACTTAAAAATTCAACTCATGAACAAAATATACTAATGAACCCAATAACAAAACATTAAACTGGAGTCTACCATTCACCCCTGAAATTACTTTTAAAATAATTCACATTTCAACAAAAATTGTCATTAAACATAAGATTCCTATCGACTTCTAATTTACCCAAAAACTCGGCCCTAATCTAAAATCCTTAATTAATATAAATTATGTAGATCCACACAATTGCAATGTCATTTATGAAATATTGTGTAATAACTGCCTGGCATTCTACATCGGAGAAACTGGGAGAAATGTGGAAACTAGATTCACTGAGCATAAAAACCCTTTTATGTTTACAACCATTGTAACTAAAAAAAAAAACGTATAACTATTATGAAGAACCAAAAATCTGCTAACGTAAAATCAAAGAAGCTATTTTAATTGAATAACACAACCTTATTCTAAACCAGCACTCTGAGATGCCAAGATACGTTTGCTACTGTGTTGAACTTGTATTAAATTTTTGTTCGTTTCCATTTGTTTCTTGGTGGGTCAGAGGTAAGTTTAGGGACTTACAACGCTAAAAACAGGGCTCGATTCCCCGCGGTGGACAGAGCGCAGATACCTACTTGTGTAGCTTTGCGATAAAAACAAACTAACCATTAACCATCCAACTTTCAGGATGTGTCTGAACTTTATCAGCTTGTTGTTTTACCGTGTTAGCTGTCATATTTCCTATGCTTATTTTTCTGGGATCATTCTTTTATAAAAGTACAAAACTGTCATAGCTTTAAACAAAATTTACTTTACAAATAATTCAGGAAACAAATAATTAAACTTCTGTGGCACGAAATACCAAGTTTTGGGTAAACAATCATATTCGTGGTGGAAAATGATATAAGTAATTTTTAGAAGACGACATGTTAGGCTTTCCTATGGAGAAAATTGAATACGGATTTGGCGCTATAACAAAATACAGTAAGTACTCGTACGGTGACAGGGAAAACGAAAAACTCAAAGTCAAACCTAACGGCCTTTTTATATTTTAATTTTTGCAAAAATTATACAGGTTATCCTAGATACCACATAACTGTGATACACAAAAGATCTGCTCAAGAATATTTACTATAAAACAAGCATCAGAAAAGAAACCCAAGAACCCAAAACTTTCGGAGAGTGAGCTTTTTCTTCGTCGGGGGTAAATAATAAAAACGGAAAAAACTACAAGATAATTCAGCTTATCTACAAATAGAGAAAAGTGTCAAATATTGCAATAAAAAAGGAAAGTACGTCATCAAAAATTGTAAATTTTGTTAAAATCACAATAATGACAACAAAATGAATATTTCTGAAAAATTCTGTAAATATTTTTGTCAATATTTCAGAGGGCCGACTACCCACCTTATAAGTACTCTTTAGGTCTACCTGAGACTTGCTGTTTACATTCTACTTAATTGTTTTACACTCGTATTTATGTTCAAGTAGTTAATACATTAGATCAAATTAAATATTCAAATATCTCCTTATGTTTGTTTGTTTTTAAGCACTAAGATACACAATTGGATACCTGTATTGTACCCCTGCAGGCACTGAAATCTAAATATTTCTACTGTTACCGAGCCCCCCAGTGGCACAGCGGCATTTCTGCGGACTTATAACACTAGAATCCGGGTTTCGATACCCGTGGTGGGCAGAGCACAGTTAGCCCATTGTGTAGCTTTGTGCTTAATTATAAACAAACAAACAAACCATTTGCTCCCCAGTGGCACAGCGGTATGTATGCGGTCTTACAATGCTAGAAACCAGGTTTCGATACCCATGGTGGGCAGAGCACAGACAGCCCTTGTGTAGCTTTGTGCATAATTAAAAACAAAAACTGTTACCGAACCACTGGGGGTTAATCCTTCATTTTTTTTAGTTTCTTTGAAAAATTTATAATCAGATTAGTGCATTTCTTAACATACCATTAACATTAATATAAACTTAAATACCTTTTGGTAGTATTAATAGTTGTGTAAAAGATACTTGAGCTTGGTTTTATTTTTAAAAAACTAATACGTTTCCTTCAAAATACTTGATCCACCCAGTGGCACAGCGGCATGCCTGCGGACTTAAAACGCTAGAAACCCGGTTTCGATACCCTTGGTGGGCGAAGCACAGATTGCCCATTGTGAAGCCTTGTGCTTAACTACAAACAAATAAACCGAAATGTTTGAATAGGAACTAGATGAATCTACAGATGGTAGAGTTTCCTCGTAAGCAGTCGTTTTTTTTTGTTTTATATAATCAACTTTAACTAACATTACACAAAAATACAGAAATAATTCCTGTAATTGTTTCTACTTAAGACTCGTATAAATCAATAGATACATTTTCGAATTGAATGTACGTTTTCATTTATTGTATACGTTTCAAATGGGACTAAATCAAAAGTAAAATCTTTCTTAAAATTTTTTGTTAAGAACAAAGCTATAAAGTGTGCTATGTATGTTGTGCCCACCACGAGTATCGAAACCCGGTTTTTAGTAGTGTGAGCCCTCAGTCTTATCAGTGAGCCACTGGGGGTCTTTTCTGAAGAAGTGAAAACTGAGATCTAGAAGGAATAAAACCAGCGTATCTAATAATTATTGGGCAGATGTTTGAGCCAGTTAAGCTATCATATTTCAAATACAGGTTGTCTCAGTGTTCACGTCATAGGTTATTAGGAACTGAACCTATCAGGGCTTGAGGTATATCAATTTAAATGTAAAGCTCAGAAACTATTTATTTCTTTTTTTTAAACTGTCCATTTTAAGTGGTTTAATTTTAGACGTTTTAAGGGTGGCACACCGTCATATGAAATTAGAAGATTTTGAAGACATGAAAATTGAAATCAGGCTAAATTATTCTCGAGAACTGCAACATCCAAGTTGTTCAGTAATCAGAGTCAAATCCCAATATCTTTAATCTTTTACTTCTTCACATGTCCTTCAGTGGATCAGCGGTAAGCTTGAAGGCTTATACGCTAAAACGTCGGCGCTCGATACCCTTAGTGGAGTCAGCACAGATAGCCATTTGTATAACTTAAGTAGTTAGAGCGCATGAATAGCAAATCTGCGGGTCTCCGGATCGAAACCCGTTACCAAACATGCTCGCACCTTCAGTCGTTGGGTATTATAATGTGAAACCAATATCATTATTCATTGGTAAAGAGCAGCTCAAGAGTTATCGGTTGGTGATGTTGACTAACTGCCTTCCTTCTAGTCTATCATTTAAAAATTAGGAACGGCTAGTGCAGATAACCTTAGAGTAGGCGTGAAATCCAACAAAACAAACAAACAAAATCAATTCTTCTCGGAATAATGATGCACCCTTTAAACTTCTGTAATTAGATTACTTAAGATCGGAACTTCCAACAATAAGAAGGACAAAAAGGTAATGAATGGATTCGGAGTTTTACACAAGTCTTGCAAAATTCTGTCCTTAATAAGTCATGAATTAAAAACTCAAATGCCATTTTTAGAAGAATTCTTAAAACAAAAAACATTTTCATCTCCTACAACTTAATGATCGCCTTATATTGATATTTCCTGAAGTTCCCATTGTCTCCTTACGAAAAAGCTGAACTCTAAAAGATATCCTTGTTCACACAAAAGTGAATTACATTCCACCAAAAAATGGTTGTCATCCATGTAATAAAGATCGTTGTCAAACCTGCAAGTTCATAAAACTACTGACTCATTTTCTGACAAGCACAACCAAATAAACTTTAAAATTCAGCATTTACCTTAAACAATGTAAAAATGCAATAACCAATATGTAGGACATACAAAACCAACTCTTAGAGAACGTTTCAACAACCATAAGTATTTTGTTAACACCGAACAAGATCTCCCTATTGCTCAACACTTTAACCAGCCCGGCCATTCCATTAACGATGTTATTCTCGTCGACATTGGAACAGGATTCAAAACTAAAGGTAATTGAGATATAAAATAAGCTTATTGGATCGCTAATCTAAACAATGTTTGACCTTTTTAAATCACTCTATACCCTGGAATCAGTGATCTTCCATCATTTTTATTATTTGCTTATTTTTGCATGTAGTATGAACCCTAATTTTTCTAAAACTTACTGTTTATTTAAGATAATTTTCCATACCTGTTTGTATAAATTAATTAGTTTAACATCTATTTTTCAATCAGTGTTCAGGTGTTACCTACATTTTATTTAAACACTTAAGTGTGTTTGTAATTAAGCACAATGCTACACAATGAGCTATCTGTGCTCTGCCCACAACGGGTATCGAAACCCGGATTCTAGCGACGTAAGTCCGCAGACATACCGCTGTGCCACTGGGGGGGGGGGCAACACTTAAGTATACTTATATTTATTTCTTTTTTAACCATTTCTAAAGCAAAATATCCTAACACCTTTTTACATAACGCCCTCGTCGCCGGCCACATTGTAACGGAAATGAAACACACCTACTGTTAACAGTACATTGAAAAATATACTAAACATTTCCTGGAAGACCAGATGGCCTTCATGACGTCACTCAAATTCCTTTATATATATCACTCATTCAATTACATCATCGTTGCCAGTTTGCCCCTGAATAAGAAAGGTCCACCTTTCGAAAACGGGTAAAAGGGTTATTTTGTATCAAGACTTCTTGAACCTATGTGTTTTTCTGACATCATGAACACATAAAAGAATGGTTAGTTACCGCGGGAAATGTAGAATTTAGTTTTCAATTCGCAAATTTTTAAAGTAGGTAATGGCTGTGTATGAGTTGTGAGCATACACACACATATATATATACAGGTGAATATACAAGAAAGCTTTGTTTAAAAGTAAAGAGTTTTGGTATAATACAGTTTAAACACGGTATACTGTATAACCTGCATATTAGAGACATTATAACTTTTCTAACAAGGATATTTCATAATGTTACAAGTGTTGTGGAAGTATCTACCTGTAATATATACTGGTTTATAGTTGCCACTTGTCACTTAGAATTCTACAGATTTTAACTACATTTATCATTTGTGTAATGACAACAAGAAATCATTAATCCGTATCACATTATGTATTCATGATACTTATCACTTTGTACTAAAAGATTGGTTCACCAGTTGTGTTTCAGTATTGTGAGTTTTGGATGATTAGTTAAACTATTGATGTAATTGCATTAAAGTTCAGTTTGCTAAATGATACCAGATACACACAATAATCAAAATACTGAATTACATGTTACTTTCAGTTGCGTTACATATGAGAAAAATAGCTAATTTTAATGATGTGTTGGATTTGTATGCTGTGTACCTTAAATATATATATATATACAAGTTGAAAAATATTACGAAAAAATTGAAAGTGTAGGAATGAGTGCATCAAAGAGTGAGGAAACAAGGTAGGAATGGACATGATGTGATAAAACTTCCTCTGTACAACCTCACGACGGAGTGTGTCCAACATTCGCTCCATGCCTACTTCATTTATTCTTTGTATCCTGTATACAATAAGCCAGGTGAACTAAACTTATCAAACTTAGTTACACTTATCATACAATTACTAGTTTTCTGTGAATCGAATTATTAGAGTCAATACATGTACTGTAAATTTAAGTTTCTTTATACGACAAAAGAAGAATTATATATTTATATAGACCCATAATTTGTATATTTTCTTTTATTTACAACTTATCTCTCCTTTTGCAATTGCATGAGAAGGCAACAGGATTACGTACATTAGCTATATAGGTGGATTAAAATTTAAAAATAAAAAGTCCTAGGAGGTTTCTCTGTATCGACGTCATGGATTCGTTACTGGCTTTACAAAAGTAGAAAAATCATAGACACACTTCTGTATGTACCCGTAAGATGTATAATATCATGCATACAGAAAAACGAAGTGACCATGGATCAGATGTTGGACAAGCCTCTTTGTGAGGTTGTACAAAGGAGGTTTTATTACGCCATGTCCATTCCTACCTTGTTTCCTCACTTGTTTTGGTGCACCCATTCCTACATTTTCAATTAAAAAAATTTTTTTCCCACTTGTTCATGCATTTTTCTTCATACAGGGTGACATGATCTTATGCATCATTCATTCATTTGTGTTGATGTTCTGTACGTATATCATCAGTGTGAGTGTGCATCATAATATTATGGAAGGTCAAAATAATAGTGTATGGGTGAGTGAGGTATGCATTCTCTTCACTTATTGTGTGTGTGTGCACATTGTGAGTGTGCATGTATGCTGTACATGTGATAGTACACACTCTATAATGTGAAATGTAATTTGAGTGATGTGTTGTGAGTTGTGTGCATATACTAATGGTTGATAAATTAGTTAATCAATTTAATTAACTACTTCACGCTAGTACTAACACGTGGTCCCTGTACTATTGTTCTATTTGGTGCACCTATAACTATAGTAAGTCTGTTTTTTACACAGCTAGAAGCGTTCAACAATGTCAGTCAGTCAGTGAGATTGAGACATTTGTGGTATCGTGAATTTTTTGTATCTGCTCTGCTGACTTTCTCAAGTGGTACAATGATTTCGTACGTGGTTTGTTTATCACCTAAGGGTGTTTTACAAATACTTGAAGATTTATTATTTGGTTGTTAAAGGTGTATATGAGTAAACAGTTTGTATTGCATGTATTGTGTATCAGCCCCATTCCTTCTATAAATGCTACCGTACTTTTGGATAATATATACTGTATGCTTATAAGCTTGATATGTATAGTTCTACTCTTGTTATGAGACCAAATATTTTCATTGCTAGATCCAATATGAACTAGAAATTGAAAAAAATAAACAAATTCATAAAACAATATCAGAGCATTGAGCCATTATTTAGTATAAATATTATGTATATACTTATAACATCTAAGAAGACAATATAACTTGGATTACTCAGTATATGTTACCTCTGTCAAAGAGTAAGCCAGCTGGTAAAAGAAGAAAATTGCAGAGTTATATCTCAAACTTTGTCTTTATGAATAAATATTATTTGGATTTTTCTTTTTAAAAATAAAATACAGAGAGACAGAAAGTATGTTTGAAATGTTAGAATTTCTAGTTTTTACTTTTCAATAAACTTGAATTTCTGTAATTTCAGGGAGTTCGTCCTCCAGGATTGCCATGGTAGAACTTGCCTCTGCAAAGAAGCTGAGAAAGGCCCTGAGTGATGTCAGTAGTTTATTGCCTATGGCAGGGTTCTTTCTAAGTGTGGAGCAGCATTTGAGATTCGAAACAATTTTAGATGACTGCACTCGACATACGCAGAGTCGATTTTCAATTGGAAGAAGATACCGAACACAATAATATATTCAAATTTGACAGTTCTTCTCAGAAAGTCATGTCATCCACGTCAGGAGACTAGTGTTACTATTCCAGAAGGAAAACACGTTTTACTGTGTATCTGTTTCTACATATGCCTATTATGACAGACATCGTCGAAGAAAATAGCATAACAACTTATCTAGTGCACTGGTCACTTACAGAGGCAAACATACCTTCATTAGTCCTAACCTTGAATGACAGCCTAAGGGTAAGATTAGCGCTGTTCACAACTGGGTGCTGCACTGCCACTTACAGAGGCAAACATACCTTCATTAGTCCTGACCTTGAATGATAGCCTAAGGGTAAGATTAGCGCTGTTCACAACTGGGTGCTAAGCCCTAATAACCTGCACTAAAATTTTAAAACTTTGACCTGAATACATCCAAATATATATATATTAATATATCAAATGATTACAGTCACAATATTTGCATATTACAAATGATTTAAAGTAACCCGTCAAAAGATTGAGGTTTAATTAACGTATAAATTTTCAAGATGTGTTGCAAAATAAAAGTATTGTTTTGATTTACATAATACAGTTATAACCAATATTAATAATAAGAAATTATTTTCTAACAAAATAACTTGGAGAAACTATTTAACAGGTCCCACTTCTCCAGCCTTAACGAGTTGACGACATCGATCAGAGAGGATACTATCAGGTCTTCAGAATATGGAATGCTGTTTTCTTTCATTTTTGATATACAATCTTCAAGAGTTGCTGCATATTCGTTTCAAACCTCTTTTACAACATTACTTTTCAAATTTTTAGGACTTTTCGTTGGTAACCTCATAACTTTAATATCGCCGGCTCTTTTCTTCCAAATAATGTTTATTCAAAATTATAGTTACGTTTGAATCATTATCCTGTTGAAACTGAAAAATAAATTAAATTAAACGTCGTTCATTAGGCTTTGTGTGACGATTCAGAATGTTGCTATACTTCTCTTTGTCCTAAAAAATAAAACTGTCCCACACAATTATAGACTCACTACCGTATTTAACACTTTATATGAACTCCATTTCTTGATTTTTTATCATTTCATAGTCACATTTCCTCACAAAACTATTTTTAGTCAGTCCATGACATATCATTCCATTCGTTTTTCTAACTTTAATGTACAAAGCTTAAAAACTTGACCATATTTACACGTGAAATACCATGTTTTTTTTGTCTGCAACTCTTCCAGGTAGACTACTTTCTTAAGTCTGTGACTTATTCCAACGCCATGAATGTCCAGTATGTCTGAGAATGTATTGAAATAAGTTTGATGTTAAAATTACTAGAATGATACAATTTCCCATCTTGATATTCTTCCTGGACATACATTTGTATTCGACTTTAAATTTCCAGTTGCAGAAAAAAAGCTCAAATCTTTGTGAATCGTATACCTTTACAAAGTTTGAGCAACATACCATTGAATTGTCTTTTAATTATGGACAGCACTATCTTTCTCCATTTTTCACTGCTTAGTTATATATATATTTCCTTATGTATCAATTTTAGCAATGTTGAAACTTGTAGTCTTTGGAGAGTTGATTGGCACTTTACTCGTCATTTACTCAATTACCTTTATTGAAATAAGTGGTGTTAACTTAAAGCAGGTTGGAACAATAAATATCATTAAGAAAACACATCAGTGGTACTCGATTGTGATTACTGGGTATTCTCAGGAACAATTGAAAACTACAGGTAAGTACTAAGTCCAGAAAATTGAAGGTTCGGAGGACATCTAATCCTATACAACCAAAATATCAAGGTCTGACACAAATATTTCCACTATGAAACAAAACAGACACTTTATTAATAATCAAAGCAGCAAGTGATATTTTGAATTCCTTCTTTGCAGTTCTTAGACTTTTTCTGTTTTAGTGAAAAAGCAACTTCCAGAATACTTCACTATGATGACAGGAATTTTTCCGTACCAGATCAAAGGATTCTTAGTGAGCTACTAGATTCGCTTAGAACTACCTTGAAGTTCAAACTTTGCTAATATTTCACACACGTAATCTGATTATTCTCATTGTCATAAAGGTGGAACTAACTTTTAATCCGTATGTGTATTTCTACATATGTCCTACACAGCAGACATCGTGACAAACAGTGCTAGCCCTGATGATGTGTAGGAGCTGAAGAGCAAGATTAAGAACTGTTCACAGCTGGGCACATCATATTTATGTTCAGAGTCTTACTAATTATCAGAATAAAGACATATTCTTGTTCTACGTCATGAAAAAGTTGCAGCTATAAAACCATATATTACACTGTGCACTTATGTAATAAAATTATTCATAAAATGTCATTCTTATTTTTGTAATCACGAAATAATACCTGTATTATAACACTGTTAACCTTTTTTTTACAACAATTTTTCATATCAAAAGTTAGTCTATCTTTTTTTTTTTGCTGTTGCTGTTATTGTTCGATTCAGACTTGTGTCTATAAATTTAATTTCTTCCACTGCGCAAGTTAAGTGAATTCTCAGTAGAATTTTTGATAACTCTCATCTAGTAATAGAAAAAGATAAAAGAAACTTATATTATTTATTTTGTTGTTAAACATAAAGCTACATAATGAGGTATTTGTGCTGTGCAGCCCGGCATGGTAAGGTGTTTAGGGCGCTTGACTCACAATCTGAGGGTTGCGGTTTCGAGTCCCCGTCCCACCAAACATGCTTGCCCTTTCAGCCGTGGGAGCGTTATAATAGTTCGGTCAATTCCACTATTCGTTAAAACCCAAGAGTTGGCTTTGGGTGGTGATAACTAGCTGCCTTCCTTCGAGTCTTTCAGTGCTAAATTAGGAACGGCTAGCACAGATAGCCCTCGTGTAGCTTTGCACTAAATTCAAACTGTGCTGTGCCCGGTTATAAGCCTCCAGTCTTTCCGCTGAACCACCAGGGAGCAACTTATATTCAATGGTCAAACATAAGTTAATAGTCAAAGAGAGGTGATTCAGGTAATTTTAAGATCGTCACTCCGACTAGTCGAATTATTGAGTTTATTATCTATTAGTATATCCAAATTAAAACTTAAAATGATCCAAAGGTAAAATGATCTCTGATGCAGAAGCAGACGGGAAAAATGTGCAAAGAAAAAAATTCGGGTTTAATTAGTCTACGTCGGAGATCTTTCAATCTTCCTAGTTAAGAGTGAGCCTGATATACAAGGTGGGTAGCTAGCATAAAATACAACTTTTTATAAGAACTTTTATGTCGCGCTGTACTGATAGCAGTGATAGACGCATGGATCATTTGTAGTGTTAAACTGATTTAGTGGGCATGTCAGATAAAGCTTAATTATGAAGAAAGGTTTGTTATGTTACTTGTAGTTTCGTTTTCTTTTATTGGGGATCCGCTGGGGCCCATCTGTGTACATGTGTTTCTAGAATTAAGTATGTGTTTCATTGTTTTAGCACTTTTCAATCTACAGGTGGTAATATGGTTCAAGATGTTTACCTGTTAGAATTTTGTATCAAAATTCATATATGTTTTTTCATCTTGTTCTTCATGACCTATAAAATGCAAAATATTGGGTGTTATTTGTTTCTGAACGCTCTTCGGGTCTATATGACAGCCATATTGAAAACTAGCTACAAGAAGCCTAAAAAGTCACAACTAATTGAACATTAAAATAGAAACTGATTTATTTTCACTGATTGAGAGATACAAACTCATATAAGACTGCTATATTTATCCAAATATATCAAAATAAATCTCATTAAACTGGTCATGAATTCCATTTTCAAGAAGACGGCCAACATTTCATGCTTTTTTATCGCGTCTATCTCTTAACGACACGTTTATTCTGCAACAAAACACTTCAACAGTTTTTACTCTATGCAACCAATGCAAATTCAGCGCAATGTATCGCCTGAAAAACTTCAGTTTGCATTCCTACTTTTATCGTCTGTTAATAGTTTAATCTTGCAGGGAATGTTGCGTAATGCCTGTTGTCTTTCATTTGACTGTCTCTTTAAGAATATATCTATATTCTTCTATGTCATTATGGAGTTATTATAATCTCTTGCTTCCTCGTAGTTGTTACACTTGCATGATGTCCTTACAAGAACGGTTATTTCTAACGCACGAACAATCGTTGTTACAAGAACATTGCCCTCGACAATCATATTTGATGTGTTTAATTACTGCTTGTGGATCTGACGATGCCAAACATTTCATTGAAATTATGGGTGGTCGTGGTGGTCTATAACAGCATTGGTATATTCTCGCTGTCAGATTGGATCGGTGCTACTATAGCGTGCGGTCTACAGGGACTTTTCACTATAGCGTGCGGTCTACCGAGATTTTTACACTATAAACAAAGCATATAAAGATGTTGAATAATAACAGTCTACCTGGGATATTTACACTGCTAAATAATTTATTAATGATCATTATTATGATAAAAAGCAAATAACACAAAATTGTGCTACATAATTATTTTTAATGACATACACTTTGTACCACATCCTTAACAAATGATTTACATTTAAATCCTTTAACAATATACACTTCGTACATCATTTACAAATGCCACAAATGAACCATCTACATCTTTTCTTAGCACTTTCCAGCAAATGTGATCAAGGTATGATTGAAACAGCTCGGTGCTACTATAGTGTAAATATCCCAGGTAGACTGCTATTATTCAACATCTTTATATGCTTTGTTTATACTGTAAAAGTCTCGGTAGAACGCCCGCTATAGTGTAAAAGTCCCGTTAGACCGCACACTAAAGTAGCACCGATTGGATCTTTATAGTGTTTTTAATAACTTTTCGGATTCCACATTTTTAGTTCTTATTCACGGTTGTTATGGAGTTTGTGCTATAGTAGACTGGCAAATAAATATTTCAATCGGTTCCAAGTTGTCAAGGAGATCAAATATGTTTTCCCAAAACTACTGTTTTCTCCCCAATCAGTTGCAGAAAAAACATGGAGGCCAAGCATAACAAATATAGTGTGGTTGTCATATTATTATACACCCATCTTTTTTTTTTTTTCACTCAGATGTTATTATTAATAATACATTGCATTTTTTGTTGCCCATCGCAAAACATAGATCTTAGATGTTCATCTTTGTAGGAGAGTTTCCTTTACCAAATACCAATGGTTGCCAGACCTTGCTTGTGTATGAGTTCATAAAGCAGGCACTCTCTCCGACACACATACTTACAAACTTCCTGGTACCTATACTACAGCCACTCACTACCAATGAATTCAATATTCAAGATTCTTTCCAGTTTGCACGTGAATTAAGTCAACTAACCCCCCCCCCCCTCAAAAACCACTTTATGGTCAGCTTTGACATTACCTCCATCTTTACTAATATAGGTCTAAATGAAACCATTGATATTTGTATATCTGAACTTTCACGTAATAATATCTCGCTGAATGGATTTTCAGTAACTCAGATTAAGACTATGTTGAACCTTACAACCAAAAATCCACATTTCCTATTTAACAACACCCTATTTGAACAAATAGATGGCGTAGCGATGGGATCCCCGCTGGGTCCAACGTTAGCTCATATCTTCTTTCGTATCACGAACAGAAATGGCTCGACACCTGCCCCGATAACTTCAGACCTATCCGTTACAGAAGGTATGTAGTCGAAACTTTTATTATTTTTCACAATAAGGATCAATGACCTAAATTCTTAGACTACCTGAACTCACAACATCCTGCCATCAAGCTCACTCGCGAGGTTGAAAATAATAATAATTTACCTTTCTTAGACATCCTCATTAACCGCAACACTAACGGATTTGGCACATCAATATACAGAAATAAGACGTTTACTGGACTCCTAACAAAATTTGACAGCTTTATCCTACCCACAAAAGAAATCTGGTAACATGCTTATTAAACAGAGCTTATAACTTGTGTTCTACGTACTTTACACTCAGAAATTTCATTCAAACAGGATACTTTAAAATGTAACGGCTATCTACAACATTTATTACAAAATAATAATAATAATAATTCTTTTCTAACTCCCTAATCTACCAAGACTACCAACTGTACTAAACTTACTATATATACTTTTGTCTTCAATATGTTGATAAACAAAGCTATACTTTTAAAAGTCAAATTACACGCGTAATTCATTGTTACCTCTCCCAAGTTGATTTCAGATTAGTTTTTAAACCAACATTCCACACACAAGAATTTTTCCATACGAAAGACCTTCTCCCAATTTTTCTTTGTTCTCGGCTTGTATACATTTACACGTGTGGAGACCGTAAGGCCTCCTATATTGGCAAAACGAAACGCCATCTATTAGCTAAAACTAATGAACATATGGAAATTTCTATGAAAACACAAAAAGAGTTTAGTAACACCCGTGCTCCCTCTATAAGCCAACATAGTGAAGAACCAGGACATGAACCCAATCAATTTTTAATATCCTTTGCAAAGCCAACACTGATCTAGAATTACTGATTAAGAAAATCCTCCATATCAGACAACTCACTAACACTGAACAACATACAGTCTTCGTTTAAATTGCACATTTTATAATATGTACAGTACTTTGTTTG